TTCTTCGGCGCTCAGCCTTCTTTATGGTCCAGCTCTCACAGCCATACATTACTACTGGAGATCAGAAGCTACTTCTTTATTTTTATTTTTATTTTTCCTTTTTCCTTTTCCTTTTTCCTTCTTTTTCCTTTTCCTTTTTCTTTCTTTTTCTTTTTTTGGTACATCTTTTACTTTTTTCTTTCCTTTTCCTTCTTTCTGAGTTTAGTTTGCATTTTCTTTTACTGTTGTTATTAAAACTTTCAATAAAAATTATTTTAAAAAAAGATTTGTTGGCTTTCTATATTTGCAGCACACAAACTGAATATAGATCATAAGATTATTTTCAGAGAACTGATGGTGGTTTCATGGATCACTGTTCTTTGCCGATCTCTAAATTAAGCTTAGGAGAGACCCAGCAGCAGAGGACCTATTATTGAAAACAAGCTGTTCATAAAATAGCTCTTGGGAGGCAAAAATATGTACTTATTTCCTCCCCTCTCAGGATCTTTGTCCCTGATGGACACAATCACCACAGAAGGCAACAATATATAGAACAATTGTGGAGTCCTTGGGGTTCTCTGAGCTTGGCTGTTTTCCTGCAAACATTTTGTAACCTTCGTTATTAAGGAGTTTTCATCATGTCTTCTGACTGCTAGTTGGTATTCAGGGATGTGCTCTGCAAACCTTCTGCCTGTCTGTCCTATATAGTGGTTGTTACAGTCCTTACACTGTAGGTTGGAGATGACTCCTGTTTTTTCTTCTTGTGCTATTGGGTCTTTTGGTTTACTTAAGATGTTTTGAAGGGCTTTAGTTGGTTTGTATGCTAGAGAGATGCCATATGGTTGTAACAGTCTGGTTGTTTCTGAGGCATTTCTGAAAATAACCCACACTAACCAAGTACTCCATTACCAAAGTAAGAATCCAACCTCCCACAAGAAGAGCTGTGTATGAACATTATTCAAATGAGTGCAAAAGCACTGCAGCAACCCAGAACATCAGAAGAAGGAAACAGACCAACTTTATAACATCTTCCAAAAAATGGATATCCACGCAACTTTATCAGACCCAACCTACTACAACACAACCAACACAAGCTATGAAAAGGATAACACTGCCATACATCAGAAATGTCTCAGAAACAACCAACAGTAGCCCATAAGTTATGCTGGCTGGACATTTTGAGAACTATACTCCTATACATCTGGAGGGTACCAGGCTGGGGAAGTCTGCCTTTTTCCAGAGTACTAGTGGGACCTCTTTTTAACAGATTAAAAAGGGTTATGGGTGCTGGAGTTCACACTCATTTTCAGTTATATACACTATTGAACCAAACTTTTTTTGTTTATGCAATGCTTCTACTGAGTTATGCAGAAATGCTAACCATGATCTTTCCCTTCACTTAGGTATGTCATTACGAGAAGCATCTTGAGGAGACCAAGGCCAACTGTGAGAAGGGACAAGAGAACCTCCAGCAGAAGTACTGTCAGGAGAGACAAGTGTTAGAAGAGCAAATTGAATGTCTGCAAGCCCAAGTTTCTGAGCTTCAGGGACAACTGGCAAGATTAAGTCAGGGCAGCTCCCAGCAGAGTGTGGAAGAGAACAGTCTCCAGATATGCATGGATGAGAAGACTAGCCTTATGGAATGCCTGAAGATCAGTCATGAGAGGGAGCTCCAAGCCAGACTGAAAGAGGCAGAAGATAATTTTAGTCACGAGAAGGAAGAGTTGATTCAGTCTAAAGCTTGGTTGGAAGAAAGAATGAGAACTTTAGCACAGACCATCCAAGAAGAAAAAATGGAGTTAGAAAATGGGTTCCATGAGAAGTTGCAAAAACTGATGGAGAAGCATGCCCTGGAGATGGATCAGCTCCAACAAGAGCTACTAAGAGTGCATCAGCAAGAGCTCCAGGAACAAAAGTGAGTAATTTTTTTTTTTTTTACAATAGCACAGAATTTACCTTGGATTAACTCATTTTATCTTACAAGGAACTCTGAGACTTGCAGTTCTGGGATAAGCATTGGGTAGCTCTAGATCTCTAATAGAAGCTAAATCACACCCTTGCTAATGAATGCTATGCAGAAATCTTTGTGGAAGATTTTTTGGTTAGCATTTAGGAAAGTCCTGTAGGGGAAACCAGGAAAAATTGTACAGTAATTATATTTATATCTGACAAATTATCTTTCAAGAGTGTATAATTGTATCTACATTGGTTACTTTGATCAAGTTTGGTCATTTTGCATATTGTTGGTGTGTATTGAATTTTATATACATCTACATATATATTGAATTCTGATAAAGTATATTTTAAGCGGTTTATTCAACATATCGTTATAACAAATTATTGCTTTTGCATATTTTTGTAGTGTTTCCTGTCTTAGGCTATAAATTTTTTGTTTGTTTTTACATGGGGCATTCCTACCTCCAAAACAAGCTTTCAGCCTAAACCTATATAGCCCTGCAATGTTGACAGGATCTTAGTAAGATACTTTTTATTGCCAGCTTCTACTGACAATATCATGTATGAACATTTGAATTACATTTTCCATCTGTGTGAAAGGATGTGTAGATCCCATCATGTGCAGTATATATTAATATTTTAAAGGGACTTCTGGTTTCTTTTAAATACTGCTAATTATTCATTAACATTCTATCCAAGACTAAGAACTACAGTGGTACCTCGGGTTACGAACTTAATTCGTTCCGTGACTTTGGTCGCAACCCGAATTGGTCGCAACCCAAAGCAAATTACTTTCTTTGGAGCCATGCTAACAAGCACACCAAAAACCTTCACAGAACACTAAGAAACACACCACAAGCCTCACCGAACGTCTCCTTGCTATCGCGATCTCACCCACAGGAAGCCGCGACCGCGTGTCAGCAGGGAAAATGGCTGTGTATCCTGTTCGTACCCCGAGGCGGAGTTCGCCAACCGAAGAAAAATTTTGCGGCCGGAGCTGGTCGTAACCCGAAAAGTTCGTTAACAGAAGTGTTCGTAACCCGAGGTTCCACTGTATACTCATATCAATATCCCTTGCTAGGGCACTATTACTGTTATAGTTACTACAACTACTACAATATTCTAGGCACTATCAAAAGTTATATATTAATTCAAAACTCAGGGCTTCTTAATAAAATAGGTTTTGAGAATGGCTCTATACACATGAAGGCATTATAGACACAGTAAATGTGTTCTCAGTGATTTGAAATAGGCCACTGTTATTTTATTCCAGATGCCAGAGCAACTAAGAAAATAAGTCTTGACTTATGGCTGTGGTACAGTACTGCTTTGTTTAATAAGGGATCTCTTATACTGGTGCCTACACAGCATCTGTTCCATTTGATCTGCATAAGTGTCTCATATATGCCCCTGATTGCTTGTTCTGCCCTATAAAAGACAGAAATCCCCAAGCAAGGATGAATGGCTCCAAATGATGAACTGATTTCAAAAATATTTGCCAAGCCTTTGATAGCTCCAAATCTGGATCACACTTCCAACCTCCAACCTCCTTTCCTTGCTGAATGAAAGGTCCTAAAGCAGCAGACCTTTGACTTGGAGTTTAGCCCTGTTCTCTCAAGATTATTTCCTCCAGACTCATTGCCTGTATGGATAAGCAAAAGGGGGCGTGCAAATCTCAAATGTGAACAGGGCGGATAAGCATTAGGATACCTGGGATCCCAGTTTTGGGATTCTTGACTTGAGGTCTCTGATCCAATAAATTGAATTTCAGGGCCAGTGATATCATACCTCCTGAAATGGTTTACAACAGGTATACCATCGTGTAAGGCGCCACACTTAATGTACTGAGGCAACACCAGATGGGATGACAGTGCCAGTAGTCATAAAAAGTGCCTTGCTTGAGCACAGCCAGGACTTCCTTTATTTTCTTGGGTTCTGTATGTAGGAAGGAGAGTGTTCCTCATTTCTTAACTATATAAACTTATTATGGTTATGCAGTAGTTCTGTATGTTTTCCCTATTGAACAATAAACTGTACTCTTTCCTGGACCAGGAGTCCTTTCTCATAGTCGCTCATACCTTAGTCAGCTTATGTGTGGACTCTTGCAGTGGGGCTGCCCTTGAAGAATACTTGGAAGCTGTAGTTGGTCCACAAAGCAACAGAACAGGCAGTTATAAGCACACCTCGGTATGCCGACATATGCAAGCTGCACTGATTACCTGTAAGCTTCCAGGTGCAATTCAGGGTGTTGGCTATGACCTATAAGACCCTTCATAGCATAGGGCCTGGCTGAAGAATCAACCTTCTATTGTTTCTGCCTGATTGGTATGATCTGCTAAAGGAGTCATGCTCCAGGTCCCATCCTTAAAACCATTACATCTGATGAGACCTAGGCAGCGTGCCTTCTCTGTTGCAGAGCCTGACCGCTGAATCCCATCTGAGATTTGAGTTGCTCCAGTCCTTCTGTCCTTCAAACAAGCCTTAAAAACTTGGATCTTTCCCCAGGCACTTGATTAGAAGCATGCACCTCAGGGAATTTTTACTCAGGTGTTTGTTATTTTAGTCCCTAGTTTATTGCCTTGTGTTATTTTTACATTGTATTGAATTTGGTTTTAATTGTACACTGCTCATAATTGTTTTCAGTTGGGATTCCTATAAATGTGAGCAATAGAAATATTTCTGGCAATTTCTGGCAATTGGATGGGACTCTTGGTCTTATGCAGCTCTGGGCCTTCAAGTTGCTCATCCTTGGTTTCCAGCATCTCTTGCTTCCAGTTTCACTGGTCTAATAGATCTGGCTAGCTCCTTTTGTGAGTCACAATCTGAGCCTAGACTTGAGCAGTTCTAAACATAACTGAGCTATATGCAAATATGAATGAGTTTAAGAAGCCAAAAATCTCTTATTCTCTCTCTCTCTCTTTCTTTTTGATTGCGTTCAGGCTATTTAGGAGATCACTGAACTCTAAGCAGATAATCTGTTCATTAAAAATGTATTTAACCCTTTAGATGGTAATTTATTGTATTAAATAGAGTATTTAGTATTAAGAAAATCTCTGGTTATTTTGCTAAGCCATTATTCTCAACTCAATAGGCTGTAACCTGATTGAATATGAGCGATTTTTTAAAAGTTGCTTCCTTTTTCTAAAAGAAAGAAGAAGAGAAGATGAAAAATAAGTAGGAGACAGGAATTAATCAGAGTAGGATTAAAAATGAAAAATACCAGGCTAAAAATTACAGAAGGCCCTTGTTGCAGTTTGCTACTAAAACTGCATTCCAGGTCTAAGACAACTAAAAACTAGTACAGTAGGTGGTTTGCAATCTTTTGTCCATGAGCTTGTAGAGATTTCAGTAATGTATTGTGTTGACCACATTTAGGATAAAAATGGAAAATGAGTATAATGGAAGAATATTTCAAAGAGAGGAATGTTTCACCATTGAACAAGAAGCACTTGCAAGGAAGTATGAAGAAACCATAGACAAACTTGAGGATCAGCACCAACAAGAATTGTTTAAGCTCTCTAGGCTGCAGTTTGATGAGAAATCCCAGTGGGAATCTGAAAAAAATGAAATTCTCCAGGAAGGTGTTGAGGTCCAAGAGAAATGGAAAGAAAAGCTGGAGAAAGAGAAGGCAATCTCTTCATTACTGGCACAAGACAAGAAACTTCTAGAGATGAATTACAAGGAGCATGTGAACTTATTGATCTTGGAGAAAAAGCAACTTCAACAGGAGGTACAGGATATGAAAAAACAAGAAAATGAGTTGTGTGAGAAACTTTGGAAGATTCAATCCAGCCATGAGATGGAACTAAAGAAAAGAGAAGAAGAAATGTCAACATTACAGGAAGAACGAAAGCAGCTTAGTCAAAAGCTTGGAAGACTAGAAACAGAATTTGCATGTGAACAAGAACAGAATTCTACGGTGATCACTTTGGAGTATTTGAAGCAAGAGATGCTCGGCAGAACAATGGAAGAAAAAAATGAGTTGAAGTCAAATGTCTCAGTGCTTGAAGATAAAATAGAAGATCCACAGCAAGAACTGCAATGTCAGCCCAAACTGCAAAGCAACCTTGTTTCTTTGAACAAGGATGAAGAAGCAAAAAGAAGTGATTTTCTAGGACCTGCCAAGTCCCAGGAACCTGGAAAGGAGACAGATGTTCTTTCAAAACAAGAAATAGTCCAAGAGCCAGAAGAAGAAAACAATGTAGAAACTACCTTTCTGATGGATGAATCTCTGAAAGAACTAGACAGAGAATCAACCAAATCCCCTGGATTCATCCCATTAGTTCCAGAAATGTTTGTGGATGCTCAGCTCCTAAACATGACTGACAAAGACAGCAGTCAAGATGTAACAGAAGATGGAATGAAAAAACTAGACAAGATTGCAATTCCAATCATGAAAAATGGAGGGACAACAACCGAAGAAATGATGGAGACTTCACATGTCTTGCAGAAAGCCTATGAAGAAATTTTGGCAGAGAATGAAGCCCTTAAACTGCGACAGAATCAGCTTCTGGAGAGGATCATTCTGCTAGAGGCTGAATGCAATCAAGCAGCTCATGATCGACAAGACATGGCTTCACAGGTTCAGAAGGAGCTTGAGGAAATCCTTAAAACTATTCCCCAGCCTAATGTGTTACCATATGGAAGTGATGAGAAGGAGGGAAGTTTCCAGTGGGAAACAACTGACACTGGAAAATTGCCTACTGATTGTGCAACAAAAAAACAAATGCTCTTCGCTGAAGCTTTGGATGCTGATTTAGGTGTTGAGGAGATGAGTGCCTATTCTCTTATATTTGAGGCAGACCATGGAGAAGAAGTTAGAATTAACAAGGGAGACCTGCATGATGTAGTCTCAGAATTTTGGGATATGGATATAGAGAAAGATGCAGACTCCAGAATAGGGCCTAAATTTCTCCAATTTCCAGAAGAACTCAAGCTGGAAAACCAAGCCCTAAAAACAGAGATAATCAAATTGCTAGAACGGAACAATAAACTGGAGGGATACCTGCCAATATTGATAGGCCTGCAGTCCAGACTGGATGAGATCAACCAAGACTGCTTAACACTTAAGGAGGAAAAAGGGCAACTGCTGGAGAAAGTGAAAGACTTGGAAAAGAAACAGGACCAGTTGATGATGGATAATGCCAACCTGCAGACTTCCAAGCTGATTTTGCAGAGCCAGCTTGGCAAACCAGATTTGCTCATGCTGAATTTGCAACCCCAGAAGAGTGGACGGCTGGGCCGCTGTGATAATGTTACCAAGGATGCAGAGGTGGAGAAGAAAGGGCTTCATGAGCTGAACAGGAAGCTCAAAGAGAAAATAGCAGTGCTTCTGAAGCAGAAAGGCACCCATACTCAGGAGAAAGATAGTTTGAATGCTGCCCTTCATGGTTTGCAGAGCACCTACAATGAGCAGCTTCAGAAGATTGAGCTTTTGAGGTAATGTGGAATCCTTCCATGGTCTAAATCCTGCCACTTGGCTCTGCTTTTTGAAACTAACTACCTAGTGCTTCACTGTCCACCTCGCATGTCTTGGATTAACATGTAGATTAACTTTGCCTAGAAGGCAAATGCTCTGGGGTTTCTAATGAGCTAATAACATTTCATAGAGGTTTGAAGAATCAGTAACCAAGTGATTCTTTTTTATGGAGTATTGGAAACAGCTGAATTGGTAGATGATAGGCTTATCTATTGGGAGCTGTGCAAATTGCATGAGACAATCATTTTTGTGTGCTGCTTAGTTTAATGCTTTTATAGGCCTCATTACAATAGTACCTACTGTATCATTCCTCGTCTTCCTTTTCCTCCTCTTAATTCCTTGGTTTTAATGGCCACAATCCTAATTAGTTAACCAATAGCATTTTTAATGAATTCTAAATTAACATAATAACGTAACATAGAAGTTTTCTATAAAATTGAGCTCCTGTTGGCTAACTTAATGTAGTAAGAAAGACATCTTTGCAGGTTGATGGCCTGTATCATAAAATAATGCCAAAGTAAGGGTAAAATTTCCTTCAAGGATAAAATTTCCTTCAAGCTCCTAATGACTTCATAGAGATGATTATGGTGTTTTGTAGGCAATAATATGGGAATGGTTTGCTACTGAATTCTTCCAGAATGTTTTTTCAACTTCCCACTGTAGTCTACAAACCTGGAATTTCCTGGTAGTCTCCCGCTCAACTACTAACCACCTTGGCTTTTCAAGATCATCCAAGATTATCTAGGTGTTGCTACATAAATAATATGCATTTCAACAAACTAATTCAGGCTGAGATAGTTCAAAGTAACTTGAGTATCCCAAAGGCTCTGTATTTTTGCATCCCAGATATGAGGTGGAGCATCTCAGAGAGGAGAATACTGCCTTGAAGAATGAGATTGCCTTATTAAATGAGAAAGGAAACATTTCCAACATGCGACTGAGGGAGCTTAATGGGTCTCGTGAAGAGCTCTGGTAAGTCTCTCTAAATCCTCTAAATCCTCTTCCTTTCAGCCGTCATGAGATGGTTCTATAGTTGCTTTTAATACTCACCCACATACCCAGCAACCTTCCCTTTCAGATGCATTGGAACTACAGCTTCCAAAATATTTAGGCAACCCGCCCTTCAGCCCCAAAGTATCCAGGGGGACCTACATTGGAGAAGACTGTTGTACTGTAGAATGTGATGGTTCTCTCTACTGTGCATTTTAGGCAAAAAACAGAGACAGTACTGAAGGAGAAAATGGCGGTGCAGAAGATGGCTGAAAGCTTGAAGAAGCAGGTAGGTCTTTCTCCATTTAGGCAATCTTTGTTGGTTGAAAGACTCTGAATTCAGATTGATTATAACATTGATTGTAATTTTATAGCTTTCTCCCTGGTTTTAATTCCTGTACTACATAATTTTATTTTAATTTATGTTTACCTTATTCTATCATTATGATTTTTTTTATTTTTACTTCTATTTTAGAGGGACGTTATGTAATTCATTTTATGCTGGTCTATGACCAAAATAAAGTAAATCAACAGACTCTGAATCAAGGGTGATTAAGAAAGGAACTCAACTCTTAACTATAAAAATGCTCTTGGAAATTCACTGATGCCAAGTGCTAATATGATCCAATATGATCCTTACTTCCAGTCTAATGTGCACATTGGAACTGTGCTATCCACTGGCTTTATGCTTGCTTATCATAAGACAGGATTCATGAGTCAAACCTCCCCTTCAAAGTACAGGTAGTCCTCGACTTACAACCATTCGTTCAGCGACCATTTGAAGTTAAGACGGTGCCGGAAAAATGGACATATGACCAAACCGCAAAGTTACAGCCATTGCAGTGCACCCGCAGTCACATGATCAAAATTCTGGTGCTTGGAAGCCCACCCACACTTATGACCACAGGGGCACTTCAACTTCCCCCACCTGCCTGTCTCCCTCCCAATCTCTGCCCTTTTGGCTACCCTGCACCCTGCCTTGCAGGGTGGCAAGCAGTCCCAGAACTGTGCAGCTTCCCCACTGACTTTGGTTGTTGGAAGTCGGCAGGAAGTTGCCAGGAAGTTTCCATTAACAACCCACAATCCTCACTTAATGACGGCAATGGGAACTATAGGAATTGCCATCGGTAAGTGATGCGGTCACATGATATTGCGCTTTATGACCACATCACTTAGCAGCAGAAATTCCAGTCCCAATTACTGTCATTAACCAAGGACTGCCTGTATCTTCCCCCTTACAATATTCATGTTCTTTGAAGGGGAAAGGAAGGAGGAATTCACTTTTATGTATCACCACAACATTTTAATATTTTACCCTTTAACTATTGTTACTACCCTGAAGCATGGAACAAAGTCTATCATTAGAAAATGGAAGTTGGTGTAGAAAGAGCAAACCAAAGAATAGATTCCAAAAGTTTCTAGCCTAGATCTCTTTTTATTTTATTTTATTTTATTTTATTTTATTTTATTTATAAGTTTAATAAAGTATATCATTCCAAAGGTTCTAGGCATTGTAGAAAATAAAAGTTTTTTACATACAAGCTTTTTATTGCATGAATCCTAGAGGTCAAGACTGAGAAAGATATCTTGGTTGGGGAATTATGGAAGAGAAAACTATTCCCACTGGGAGAATACCAGATTGGGATTAAAGTGGTAGTCAGTAGTCCCAACTATTTACAAGCAGTGCTGGCTTTTTCAAGAGAGTATGGCCCAGCTCTCCTCATATCCTGAAACCAATTACTATTGACTGAGGAGTATCCTTCATTCCCTTTTGCACTGCAATTATTTTGCAGAAGGAAAGAACACTTGAAAAGTAGTTTCCTTTGTCCTAGGAATTTTCCCTTATCTTTAATTTTTGTTGGGTTCTTGTTTCCTAATCAGGTATCTGAACTGAAAGCCAGGAATCAACAGCTAGAATTGGAAAATGCTGAACTTGGCCATCGAAACTCTCCAAACCCAGCAGATGTGCAAGATTGTAACCAGCAGTTTATGAAAGCATTTCGGCAAAAGGAAAAGGAGGCAAGGAAATATATGTCAGAAGAATGGGAAAGAGAGAATTCCCAGCTCAAAGAAGAATTGGAGAATTCTAAAATGCAGGTACGATAAGTTACAATGAATACTGGAACCAATATTGAGTAGCAAGATGGAGATCTTGCTTTTGCCTCTGTCACTCCCCCACTTCCTCTAAATCATACTTTGAGGATAATAATACTCACCTGCCACCATTATCATCATCATCATTAATATTATTATTTCACTTTATAAGCTGCCTAGTCAAAAAGGGACTCAAGGTGACATAAAGAACAAAATAAAGCACATTTTTAAAACCATATGTAAAAGAAACTACTAATCAAATCAAAACAAAAAAAGTAGTACGTCAGGGAAATACAGAAAGAGTTACAACATGAAGCCTCTAATGTGAGTTCATAAATTGCCCTGGCATCAAGCCTACTGGCGGAAAAAATGGTTTTTAAAGCTTTTCTGAAAGACAACAGGGTTTGGGCTATGCAGATTTTGAAGAAACGCAGTTCCAGAGGACAGGGATGGGAACAGGAACAGAAAAGATGTGATGTGATGTGAAGATTATTGTCTGAAACATTTTGAAAGGAACTCATGTAAATATGAGTCTTGTGGTTTAACTGGGTAGGAATTTCATCTCCTAAGCCTCTTTTAGTACAGTGTCAGTTGCTGAGACAATTCCTGATTAGGTGCAAGTCCTTTCCAATAATTTTAGTTGGTACCATGGCATATGTTGTCTTTCTCTGAGTATTTACATATTTTCAGATTTCTAAAGTGATAAGCCACTACTTGCATAATGGCACTGTTTCCATCAAATCCTGCTTCCAAATCCGTATTTTCTTTGAAACCTTAAATATAACCCCTTAGTCTCTATACCCTACTGTAAATCAAGTGTAATTCTGTATAATTAAACACACATTTTTCCTGGCCTCCTTTTGTTCTTCTGTTACCATTTTTCTTCGTTGCCACACCTATATTAAATGTAAGAATAGAACTCCATGGGGTAGGGATCTGACTTCACTTAACTTTATAAGGTATCATGTACCTGAACATGTATATGAACTGTCTTCGATTTCCATCTCTGTGTTATTACTAAGACCAGATTTCATTCTGATATTTCCCCAGTATTGTTTCTAAAAACTATTGCAATGAATCATAAAACAGTTAAGTTTTCAATCGCTGAAAAATCTTACTTTATCTTTTATAGCAGTTGAATATTAAAGATGAAGCTGTTTCATGTCAAGTCAGAACATTCGTTCATTTATTCTAGTACTGTCTACTCTGACTGACAGTAAGTCTAGAGGCTGAAAGAAATCTGTCCATTATCTCTTACCTGGGACAGAACTGAGCTGGAGACTTTCAGCTCCCCAAAGATGTGCCATTCCCCAACTGGGTGCCCTCCATAATTTTACAATTTTTATCATTTGTAGGGAAGATGAGCTAAGCCAGCATTTCTGGAGAGCACCAGGAAGGGAAGGATTTATTTAAGCTATGTCCATTGCGCTATTAATTTGTAGCTTAAGATTTGGCTAATTGATTGATTATGCCATCAAGTTGTTGTCAGTTCTCAGCAACCACATACATAGATTTTCTCCAAGATGATCTGTCCCTGGCCTGGTCCTTCAGGTTTTCCAATGGTGCACCCATCATCACTGTAATTGAGTCCATCTACCTTGCTGCTGGTTGTCCTCTTCCTTTCTTTCCTTCTATATTTCACAGCATTAGAGCCTTCTCCAGAGAGCTATGTCTTCAATGATGTATCCAAAATATGATCATTTGAGCCTAATCATTTGTGCCTCGAGTGAGAACTCTAGATTGATTAGTTTGATGATCCATTTGTTTTCTTGGCTATCCGTGGCATTAGCATGAGTCTTCTCCAACAACAAGTTCAAAAGCCTCAATACTACTCTTTCTATCCTGCTTCTATAATGTCCATTTGGCTAATTATTTCATGTCAAAATGTGAAACTGTTCCCCTTATTTTGGTACATTGGCCTCTATCCAGCAACATTTTCCACAGGGCAGTTTCAAAAGATGGAGGAGAGAGGGACTTTTTTTTTTTTTTTAAATGTTATTCTAGCCAATTTTTAAGCTGGAAATTAACCAACCTTTGAGGCTTTCTGAAAAGAGTATTTTCCTCCACTCTCAAATTCAATTCAATTTTCTTCAATTAACTCCTAGTCCTCATCACTGGTCTCATCCCTGGAAACAGAGCTGGCTCAGCTCAGAATTAAGGCTCATGCTCTGGAGCAGGAGAACCGTTTCCTCAAGGAAGAACTGGAGAATGTAAAACAGGTAATGGCAGGCAGAATGCCTTCCTTCCCAAAGGGAGTAGATATCTGCTTCTGGGGACCCATTAGTTTATGAAGGTCACTCCTGAGATGTAGACAGCCTCCATTTATCTGCAAACATTTCATAGACATTATTGGGAAGTTCTTCTTGAATACACTTTAAACATGCTTGTCTCAAAACCTAAAATAGAGATTTTTCCATAGGTACCCAGTTGCCTGGATCTCTCTGAGCTGGAGAATGAGATTTCCAGTGTTGTCGTTAAAAATGAGAAGCTACTGAGAGAGAAGGAAGCCCTCAGTGAAGAGCTGAACCGGTGCATAGAGAAGGTGAGAGCATAGAATAATACCCCATCCAAACACACCCTTTATTTCAGTCCACAGATATCAACACTTTACTTCTGGGGAGCTCAGTGTGGGGCTCATGGCCACCTTCCTTGGTGTTCATTATTTTTTTTAACTGTCCTTACTTTTTAAATCCAAAAATAATTCACAAGATCCCATCAGGCTGCCAAGTAAAATGCTGGCAGCCTCTAGTCTCTTCTTTGTATGTAGGTTCAAATAGAAATTAGGGGCAGATGCAGCTCATTGCTTCAGCAGAAACATATCTAGCCACCCAGAAAATAATGAAAAGATAACATGAGGGAGTTAGAGAGTGTCATAGAGGGGTCAGGGTGCTATCTGGAGGATTGGAGGTGATGGAGATGATCAGAATGCATTTTTCCCTTTCTTTTCCACCTTTTTATCCCCTTTTAGCAAATGTGTGTGCAGCTAGCTATGGTGACACTAAAATGATGTGCATTGTGACATCATAACACAAGCTTCACCTCTTATGTATTTGCGTGCAACAGCATGATGCAAGTACAGAAGGGATGGAATTTACATCACAATGCTATGATGCATATTTTCCACTTGGCTTCTCTTGGCTCCCTTTTGTAGATGCCCATGCCTTAGATGCCCATGGCTTTTGTAGATGCCCATGCCTTTAGATGTTGCAGAGCACTGACAGTTTGGCAACTCAAAGGGATCACAAACATAGTCTGATCCAACCACTTTGGTGTTCAAACTGCTCAGTCAGAAGAAAAAATTGTTTAGGGTTAGGCATTGATGGTACAGTTGGAGACTGCTGGGGTCCTGGCAGTTGACCATGGATACTAATAGCAGCCCTGCCTGGGCTTTACTACCATTGCAGGCAGCTAAAGTGGCCTTCCTAGAGAGCCTCACTGCTTCCTTGAAACAGGAGAAATCATCTTTGGAGCACCAGAATCAGCGTCTGAAAGCACAAATGGCAGCGTCACAAGACAAGGTGTGTTGCTGTCATGTTAAAGTCCTTTAAGTTTCTGGGCAGCAGATGCCCCTACCGACACATTGATAAAAATTGCTTCTAATTGGCTTAAAATGTAACAGCTCATTGATTTTGTGCAGTTAAGCTGAAGCTGTGACTTTCTCTCCCACAAAAGCATTAGATTAACATAGCATTTGTAGAGAAGAAGATCATCGTTACACCTTTGGTTCTCTTATGTTTGCTTGCTTCCACAATGAACTGGAAAATACTTTTTTTCCTCTGCTCCTGCCCGTGCATATATGCATGGATGTCTCTGTCTGCCAACTAAAGATATGAACATTTAATGGGTAGTAAAATGTCCTTCAAAGTGTTGTATGTTCATGACATGGTAAAAAAACCCAACCCTGCTGAGTAGGTCACACTGAGTGGTTCTGATCTATCTTTTCTTTCAACTCCCACTTGTATTGCAAGTTTATCCCTATATTACCTTGATTGCTTCACTGTTTGAAAAATCTCTCCAGAACAAAAGAGCTGCTTCTGTTCACTGGGTTGCTGGAAAGGAGAGAAACAACCCATGTTCCTTTGCCTTTGGCAACAGAGAATGTATCTGTGCTTTTATCAAAGGTTTTCTCATCCTGAAATACATATTCTCTATATATGCGGTTTCTGATTGAGCAAGTGAAAAAGTGTGTGGAAGCTGCATCTCTCCTTTGCTGGAATATTAAATTAAATTAAATATTAATATTTAACGCCCACCACCCACCTCTTTTTTCTTTGACCCTTTTAGATTCAGAGTTTCGATGATGTTGTGCAAAATGTCAGCCTTCAGGTATCCAGGCTCAAATCGGACCTAAGGGTCACCCAGCAGGAAAAGGAGAATCTGAAACAGGAAGTGATGTCGTTGAATAAGCAACTGCAAATGGCCAATGAGAAGGTAGACACGAGCGGGAGGGTCTGTTTTCAGCAGTTGCTTTCTCATACTGATATTTACTAAAGGGAATTTTGTGCTGCTGTTGAGAAGCAGAAGTCTCCCACATCTTTAAACACAGATAATACATGCTGACATGTTTTAGGCATCCTTTCAAAACCCATCTTTCTCTGCTGGCCTTCCCTGGCTATTGAGTCCTTTTAATATATTTCTTTTTAATGAATTGGCTTTATTCTCTATGGTCTGTTCTATAAGTATGGCTATGCTTTAGGATTGTTCGTGATGAAAAATGGCATATACATAACAGTATTTTTAATAAATAGTAATATGCTTATAGTTACACACACACGACAGTAACGCTATCACTAAAACCACCACATATTCAGTAAAATGACAACAGTATATTTGTTCAGCTATCAAGAGACTAACATAGCTGCATGAAATGCTTTACATCAGTTCAACAGAATACCTCACACTAATTAAATACTCTAAACCAGTTCATTCTTCAATCAACTGCACAGCTGGATTGAAATAAAAATACTTTCAGAGTTGTCTTCTTCATCATTGTAGTAACTGAACTGTGTGGATTAGATAGTCATTTCATCTGGAAAACACATACCCCATCTTTTCTCTTCAGACCCCAAGGTGGCATACATGATGGTCTCCTCTCATTTATTCCCCAGCCATAATTCTGTGAGGTAGGTTAGACTGAGAGCAAGTGATTAGCTTCCCCTACTCAAAGGCTTCCAGGCAGCTTTCAGATCAAGTGACTGCCTGAACCCAGGTCCCCCAGTCCTAAACTAGATGCTTTAACTACTCCACTGGTATATACTACAGTATATGTGCTTTTTTTTTTTCAAATCAAGTTCTAGATACAGTGTCAAACTTATCGTTTGTCAATGGATAGTAGTGTAAACGTAGTGAGTAGTATAAGAAATTAACTTCCACACTAACATTTCTTTGTTCCATGAATATAAGCAGTTGCCAATCCATGTCCTTTGTCCTGGATGTTAAAATAATTTTATATAGTTGATAAATGTGTATTCACTTTTTAGCAATTACCTGCATCCCATCTGGGTTTGATTGTCTAGGACTCTACTTTCAAACCTATTTCCATTCTGTTCAAAATTCTTCACCATTAGTCACAAATAAACCTACTTGTAGGTAAGCAGCTGCATCAAAATCTTGTTCTGGAAGTGTTGCGTTGATATCAGTAAAACCTTTTTTGCTTGCTTTACTAACAGTCTGCCTTTGTGTTTCTGGAGTTGAACCTTTTTAAAGAAAAATATAAACATATAGATAGATATACACACACACACATACATATATACATATACACAGAGAGAGAGAGAGTGAATATAACAGTTTAAAAAGGTAAAGACCATCTTGAGTTGGGCTCATCTCTTCTGGCAACATGTACACAGTTTTCTTGGTAGCAATATGGAAGTGATTTGCCACTTCCTTCTTCTAGGATCTGTTTTTGACATGCCAGTCTAGCCTACAGACCTGGTGGTGTCTCAGTGCTGCTCATTCTCTTTGAAATCAGCCAAGTAGGGGCTTTGTTAGATTAAGTGATATAAAAGGCATTTATTTGTTTGTTTATTTGTTTGTTTGATTCATTGATTCAATTTGGGTGCCACTTGACTCCAACTAACTCCCCCAATGGGGGAGAAGACCGGAAAAAAAAGTAAAAATTCACTCAGGTGATTTGGGTAGAGTTACTTTCACGACAGGAATTGTAGATCCATGTTAAACAGCAGTAGCTCAATACATTCCCTTTTTAAAGAAGCTCTTGTTTTCTGATTGTCTTGTTCTCATGCTGGCAATAAAAGGGAAAAACAAGGTGCACAGTCCCTTTGCTATATTAACCTTCAGTTGCAGAAGATCATTTTTGTTTTGCCTTTCCTACAGTCCTATAAGGCAGTCCCTTCAATTCCTGCTTTATGGGTAAGTAGCCAAGTTGAGAGGGAGCGACTTGCCCATGTCCATAAATATGAGCCAAGGCAGAAGGCAGCTTTGAATCCAAGCCTCTGAGCAACCAATCAGTCTTCCTAGCTGTGTATCATAGGTTTGACCCTACTGTCTGCTTGCTTTCTTGCTTCAGAGTCAGTTCCTGGAAGTAGCTGTGCATTCATCAGGGCTACAGAACCAACAGAAGAAGCTTTGTTGGGATGAACTGGATCAGCTGGTCAAGCAGGAGCAGCAGCTTCTGAGGCAGGAGAATGAGCGGCTCCAGAGGGAATTCCAGGGTGCCAAATCAGAGCTAGCTCATTCTAGGGAAAAGGTGAATTGAAATAATTGTCAGGTGTTAATATGGAGGCAGCCCACCTTATTCCAAAATCTTTGAAGAAGTAACAGCAGTTCAGGGGTAGACATAAAGCTGATCAAGGTAGATGTTTGAATGACCAACAGTAGATTGACCAAAGGTTGCTGACTTTAGTTATTTCATAATAACAATTTCTACTCCTGAAACAAAGAAATTGGAGAAAGAGGGTAGAAAGGATAAGAAGTTGTGTTTGATTCTGATATTTAAAATGATTTATCATTTAAGTCCTATAGCTATATCTTTTTGCACCAGGCTCTAGTTAGTGTATGTGAGAGCTTAAATAAATGAAAAGAATAGATCCCACAAGACTGAATCACTGTTCACTCCTGTATAAAATCACTGCTGTCCTATTTCATAAGAATGTTGGGCCTAGGGCCTGGCTTAGGTTGCCATGCCATTGCTGATGCAGAGCAATGAATACAATGATGTGGTAAATTTAACTCCTTTGCTGCAAGGCTCAGCAAGTCTGCAGTGAAGAAAGTGAAATCACAATTGCTGTTGCTGTTGGCCATGGTTGACCCTGCAATTTGGAGGGCTTCCCCCTCCCTATCAGAAAAGGCAAAATTGGAGGGAGAAAAGGGAGGCACCACATCACAGACACTTGCTTAAATTTATAGCAATTTTAATTTGGGAATCTTTTCTGATCTATTGTACAGCAAATCATTCAGATTTGCTAATAGGTCCCTGTCTACCTCATGCTTACCCCTGTTCTGTGTGTTTGCGTGAGAGAGAGCGGAAGAGAGAAAGAATGCTGAATTTGAACAGACTAGATAAGAACATAACCAACCAGACTTAAATGCATGTCTGATGCTTTGAATGCTGAATTTGAACAGACTAGATAAGAACATAACCAGCCAGACTTAAATGCATGTCTGATGCTTTGCAGTTTGCCTAACACTGGTAAATAAAATCTTATTTGGCTATTGCTCTCACCAGATATGGCAGCTGGAATCGACTGTTCTGACCATGAAGCAACAAAAACACCAAAGCCAGTTAGGGATTGTGAAAGTCATTGAGCAAGAGAAGCTGAATGTGAAGGAATGTGAGCGGCTGCAGAAGGAGCTCGCTTTGGCCAGCAAGAAGGTCAGTGGGTTTTTGTGGCCTAGAAAATGCACTTTCATTTGGTTCAATTATTTTAGGCTTTGAATTCCTCACTTAGTTTTATTCAGTCTTTCAAAATCTGTCAAATTATTAACAGTTTTTTTGTCCGTTCCATTTATTCTTATACTGTAATGCACTTCTTTGGGACATATGGATAGCATTCCTAAAACACAAGCAACTAGTCCTACTAACAGTTTTTGTGGCTGGTCAACTAGCTGCAATCTCTGCTTGCCATAAGTGACCAAATGGCTATCTGCCACTCTGCAGACAAACGCATCGAGACTAAATCAAGCAACTGATACTAACCATGACAGAAGGTATCTTTACGTTCAAAAGCAATACATACTGGTTGCTATAGGAAGGACGGAAGCGAGAGAAGGATACTGTTGCCATGTCCTTCTTGTTCATTTCCTGGAGATCAGAGAATGTTGGTAATACGGTTAATTATTATAATTTAGGTTATGGAAGTTAATATACAGTTCTGTGTTGTTGTTTTTTCACCAAAGCAACATATGAGAGATTTTAAAATCTAGACTATACACAGGCTCTTGACCTGTTTCAACTGGGGATCTTATATTCTCAATTCCTGTGTCTGTCAATGATCTCCTGTTGGAAGAATGGAAGCTTCATATACAATACTTCATTCCCATCCCCATAAAATCCTTGCAACTCTAAGGATTATAATGAAGTTCTGGACAATTTGCTCTGATAACCTCTCTGTTGGACTACACTGATTATTAGAAGAGAATTATTTGGTTACAGGCTAGCCCAGTGTTTCTCAACCTTGGCAACTGGAAGAAGTGTGGACTTCAACTCCCAGAATTCCCCCACCAATTGAAGACCACAACCCTTTCAGTTTCCCAAGGTGGGGAAAACCTGGGTTGCCTAAAACCCCAGGGTAT